TATATAGAGATTATAGAGGAGATGGATATAGTATCGAGCTATGAGGGATAAAGGAAGAGAGAAATAGAGAGATGGATATATGAGATAGAGAGGAGAGAGAGGGAGGAGATGAGAGAGATATATAGAGAGAGATATATAGATATAGATGGATATATGATAGATAGATATTATATTATATAGAGATAGAGAGGGATAATTAATATTAGACATATAGAGATATAGATAGATAGAGATATAGAGAGATGGATAGAGGAGCGAGAGAGAGAGTAGATAGTATAGAGAGATAGATAGAGAGAGATAGTATGAGATAGATATAAGAGATATAGTATATTGGAGTCTATGTTTGTTATAATATAGATAGAGGAAGATGATAGAGAGATAGATATATAGTATTAGATAATTATATATAGATAGAGAGAGAGATATAGATATAAGGTATAGAGGAGAGATAGTACTATAGATATAGATATATTGTTATAGATATATAGATAGATGTAGATATTAGATATGAGATACTATATATATAGAGATAGTATATGATATAGATAGATAGGAGCCATATAGAGATGAGATAGAGAGATATATAGATAGATAGATAGATATATAGATGTAGATAATGAGATATATATATCTAGATATAGATAGAGATAGATATAGAGATATATAGTAGGTATATAGTAGAAGATAGCTATATAGATAGAGTAGAGATATATGTACATATTAGAGATATATATAGATGTAATATAAGATGAGATATATAGAGATATACCAGTATAGAGTATATAGTGTATACATGATATATATAGTATATGTAAATGATAGAGATATAATAGATATTAGAGATATATATAGTATATGTTATAGAGTGAGATATAGAATAGATATATATATATATATAAATATATAGATTATATATATAGATATAGATATATACATAGGTATATATTATAGTAAGAGATATATCTATATAGATATATATCTAGATGATAGAGAGACATATAATTATATAATTAATATATACACATAGATATATTATATAATAGATAGATATAGGCTATAGATATTAGATAGTATATATATAGATTAGTATATAAGTAGTATAATATATATGATATAGAAGATTATATAGTGAGAGATGATTGATGGTTGATAGATGTATATAGTATACAAGATAATGTATGTTAAATTAATTGAATAGAGATATATATATAACTATTATAATATATATATATAGGTATAGAGTATAATATAGATATATATATATTATGCTAGATATAGTACTATAATATATTATATGATTAATATTGTTATTAGTATTTATATATATATATATTCTATATATTATATATATATATATATATATATATGTATATAGTATATATATATATATATATATATATATATATATATATATATATATATGATATATATATATATATAATAATATATATATATCGTATAATATTATGTTATATATATATAGTATACTATATGTATATATTATATATATATATATATATATATTATATATATATATATATAATACTATACTACATATATATATATCATATATATACCTACACATATATGTATATACATCATATATATACACATATATGTATATATATCATATATATACATAATATATATATATATACAATTTCTTAAGCATGAAGTAAATGTGCTTGTATGCATTTTACTTTACTTCTAATATTTTTCCACAGAAATCCGGAGGAATAAGAGGTAGATTTAATACGGTTTGGGGGGGGGGGGGGGGAATAAAATGTGTTCATCAGGAACTTGTGAATCTTACTTCAAAAAATATTAACGCATTTCTTCGTTATGCTATTTAACAGTACGCCGTAGGAAGTACGATATGGCTACATATTTTAACACTGATGCTAGTATAAAATTTTACTACTTGAAGGGATTTTATTTCCTTACTTATTTCTTCTTCGTTGACATCTAATAGCATGAGAAGAATATTCAAAGAGCGAGAGGGTGGGTCTTGGGGGCTAAGGATAAGTCCGATATGCGAAGCTGAGCCTCGCCCGGGCTATGAGGGGAGCCCGGCCTGTGTCCACTAATGTCGACTCGCTAACAGTGTGTCAGCTGGTGCTGACTCTGCTTTTGTCCTTACCAGCCGTGGTGCCCAGCCACAGCAGTAACCCCCAGGCTACAGTTGCAACTTCTCGCGCCTGGGCGGGGCGCGAACCGCCGACCCCTCGGATGAGAAGCCGACACGTTACTACTGTACTTGCCTGGAGGCTACCTGGCGGCAATGTTGATTTCCATATTGGTTAATGGTCAAAACAAATAAATGTGCTAGACATCAGAAGTCATATAGCATTATGATAAAGTATGAAAAGGGTAAAAAATGATTAGGGTAAGTGGACAGAAAGGGATTAAGAAGAGATGGAAAAGGAAAGGAGTGAAGAAACGACCATGTTGAGGCGAAGACTGAGGGCAAAGGTGGGGCGGATTCCCTCCATTGGGCCCCAGTCTCCGCCTCCTAAGCCACTTCACAACAATTAGCATGGGATTTTTTTTTTTTTTTTTTTTTTTTTTTTTGGGGGGGGGGGGTGATACTTAAAGGCAATTCTTGGGCAATGTGCACCATGCCCTCTATGTCTAACACATTTATTCCATTAAGTAGTTGAAGCAGTTTATTTTGATAGATAGCTGCAGCAGACATTTTTTACAGCCAATCGCCTAAACCAGTCAATCAATCATCAAATGCGGTACTATGTAGGGGCGTCAATTTGGGGAAGATGCTCTCACCCCTATTTATTTATTTTTCTGCCATGTCAACATGTCATTGGCGGTGTACTCAAAATACAGCCATAGCTTTAAGCCTGGGGGTGAAGCCCCGGGTAAGGAAGTTCTGTGAATCATATGTCGATGTTTGTGGATTCCCAGATTGGTGCTAGACATCAAAGGTCATATTGTATTATAATACAGTATTGTGGCGAAGAGAGTAAATATGAGTTAACGATTAGGATAAGTTGACAGAAGGTAATGAAGGGAAGGAAAAGGAAAGAAGTCCATGCAAAATTAGTTGAGGCGAGGGCTGAGGTCCAAGGAAGGGTGATCAACCCTAAGGATTAATAGGATAGTTTATTGTTAATAGGATCTTGATTTTTTGCCTGTTAAAACAAATAAATGTGCTTTGACTAAATCATACCTATAGCGCTCTGGTTATAACTTTAAAATGCCACTAGGGTATCTCATTAAATAAATTAGATCGCCCAGCTGATTCTGCCCCCCCCCCCACCGGGGGGAAAGCTGAAATGACGCCCCTGGCTGGATGGGTAACTAGCAGTCTTGCTATTATTTATCAACTATCTATACAGAAGGTGCGGCCAGATAAGGCAAATGTGTAAGTTCGGGACGTGTGTCTATCTGTAAAATCTTATCTCACTGAATCTGGATTCCGTTCACTACTAAAGTACTCATAGGATTTCCGCACTGTGCGAGTCCTCACGCACGAATATTGGTTACCGGTAGTCTGATCATATCTACGGCGGAGTTCAATGGCAGCAGGAAAGAGAGATCGTGGATTGCAGTACATCTAGTGAATTCCCTCATTCACGCAGTGGATCATTTGACCATACGGACGCAATATTACACACGTCACGTGGTCTTTCAATGTCTAGGGTCCCATCCACACGGTCGAACAGTACCCAGCGAACCGTATGCTCAGGGTCTGTCGTCGTCGTCGTCCACATGGGGTGTGGGTGTTTGGCGGAGTCGTTTGTAGACCATGCGAATGCGGTGGAACCTAGATTTCGTATTATGAAGACTAATTTGTTCATTGGCCATTACAGCGTCCGCACTTCGGTCAAGTTTTGCAAATCTATTACTTGTATTACAATTTTGTTCTCGCGTTGCATCAGCTTCATTTGCGATAGTTGTGGTAACCCTGGTGAACACGAACAAAAAAAAAGTTACCGTACTGCTTGACCGAACACTACCTGGTGGTATGACCAAGTCAGGTCCTATCCAGACGAACGGGAAGTGCTCGACGAGCAAACACTAACGAAATGTTCCAAACCAACGTTTTAAGGGTGGTTGGCGGGCACGAGTGTAGGCCGCTGCCCAAAGTTTACTGGGCAACCACTACGGTCACCTTACCTCAGCTCGGTCTTTCGTGTAGCCCTTACCCGTACGGACAACACAGGTGTGCCCAGTGGCAGGCAGTGTCTGCTAGGGAATGCTCCATCTGGTAACTGATAAACAAGCATGAAGTTTCCACTCACCAGCCATTACCAGGTCGTCTGGATGGGGCCTAACATAATTCTTCAGTAATGACTAAAGTATCTATGACCACATTGCAAACTCTAATAATTCAAAGTTTGGCCAATCCTGCTGGTCTGTGCTCGATCGTGGATGGGACTTTACCCTTGATGCAAATTAGAAATTAACATTTCGTCTTCAATGTATGGATTCTCTTTGTAAATTCTGAGCTCCGAGTGTTTGACGTAGAACCATGCCCTGGTTGCCAACGTATGTTGCAGGTTATCACTACTTTTCTATGATTGAGTGTATTACATCTCCCCCAATTTTAGTAAGATGATCGAATTCAGAAATTCCATGGCTGTAAGTAACCAACAGCATATCATTCAAAATCTTTGAATTAGTATTGAGTGGGTAGCGCCGGACACTTCACGTTTACCGATCTCTGAAGGCCAACTCACATGATTAGATCCCCCTCCCCTTTATTTGTCAGTTTAGCAAGTCCTAAAACACTAGCCTAAATAATGGTTATAACGCTCTAATTTTTGACATGGTTTCTCAAGACGAGTTTATAAGATATTTGGTGAACAACTACCTTGTCTTATTCTTAAGCCCAATACACAGCCAGACGAGAGCCTTTGGGAGTATGTCAGCTCTGGATGGTAATTAGCCAAAATTAATGTAGATTTTCGATCCTTCCCTTTACTTTTCAATTTTCCTTTTAATTATATAATCTTGTGTATATCTGGGTAAAGAAATACAGATAACATTAATATTTTATTGATGAATCACTGTTGAATAACTGATCTCCTTGTATTGCTGCTGGAAAAGAGAAACTCGTTAATAACTTTGCACTGGTTCTCTTCCCAACTTCCCCTTACGATATGACATGTTCCGCAATAATTTGGCAACATAGGAAAAAGACATCTCTCCCTTTGATCAATAAAAGCTGGCATCCCCTAATAATCTATCACTCCGTAAATCACCCCTATCTGTGATAAAATAAAGAGGTTTCCACCTGGATATCAGAAATGGTCTACTAATTTTGCTTTGTACTAAAGAGGACTTTGATGGGAATTCAAGTAACAAATTCAAGCAATGAGGGGAGGGAAAGTGAATCCTTAACTCACAAATCCAGTCCTCTGCTACTTGGTGAATCCCTTGATTGATCCAAATCCTTATCCTCAAGTGATCCATGATCCTCCAGTGAGTTCGTCCAAGCGCAGAACCTGTCCCCGCATAATCCTTTTTCTCCATGGATAGGCCAACTGAGACCCATAAGAGATCTCATCCATTGTGATCCAAGTTATCCATTAGTGTGATCCTCCCCTTGCAAGCTTGCTGCAGCATGTATCCTCCTGATCCTGTGATCCAGATAGAGAGCCTCTCGTCCATGCCATAGTCAATGCTCCTCCTCCACTTCTCAAATCCTAGCTTTCCAAAATCTACGAAATTTGGCAGGAAGGATGGCCATATTGCAGCAGCCTACTAGCTACGGGACTGTGTAGAAAGAAAAACAAACAATTAGTCTCTGGTAATACGATCTCTATAATCTATAGGTAAAGCTTCATTCAATACAAAATCCATTTCAAGACAATTTTTATTGAACATCTTTATTAAAAGTATGAGGTGTATTTACACGCTGATTACTAAGAAAATATCAGATATAAGAATTGTTCAGCTGAGAAGTCAGAATGGAATGTGAGAACATAAAGACAGAAGTAATAAATCATAGTTAGCTTAATTGGGCTAGAAGCTACTTATAACGTAAACTTCATTACATTTCTTTTTGTAAACATATGCTTTCTTACAAATCTAAAATCTTTAACTTGCCCTTTGTATATGAAGACATTGAAAGTTTCCTTAATACTGAACAATGACCATGGAACAGACTGCATACACCTATGTGAAGTCAAAATCAAAATTAGTTGCCATTAATAAAAATCTAAAAAAGTACAAAAAAAACTTTCAAAAAGTCTGCATTTACACAAACAAAAAATGCCACTCTGAGCAATACACCGTTTTTTTTTTCTTCTTCTTAATCTGGCTGTCCGAACAGATTATCTGCGACTCCTAACACTAACAGCTTTGAAGGGTTCTATCCATCCCCTAATACAATGTGAAAGTGATGGCGTCACATGCATACACACACACACTTGAGGACCTTTCAAAAGTGTCTTTGATATATTGTGAGGACAGCCAGCAGACAGACCAAAGGGCAAGTGGGACATGTGTGACTGGCAACAGTGCAGACCTGACGTCCTCCAGTCCAGTGCTAAGAGCTGCATGGGTCCGGGGACACCGTCAGGTCAGCGTGGGGCACCAGAGGTCAGTGTGGAGTTTTAACCGTTTTCAATTTCCTCCCATAAAGGATGTGCTCTAACTGGATGCAACATCCAACAACTTGGCACCCTTCATAAATTCTAGGTAACTTCGCCAGGTTTGGGCCCAAGCTGTCATCTCGGCCCAACCGCTGGGCCTGGCCCATCACTCCCGTCTTCGGTTCTAGTAGCGATCTCGGGAGCGTGACGGTGACCTGGATCGCGAGGGCGACCTAGAATAAGATCGGCGAACAGGAGAGTAGGTGGGCGACCCCCGGTAGCCCCGTGGGGATCGCGACCTGGATCTTGAGCGCCCACGTCCACCTCCACCACCACCACCGGATGCTGGACTAGAACCTCCATAATCTTCTTTCACCCGAATGTATGAATTTTCACCCTGAAATTAAAAGTTCCAGCTAAGGGTAAGCAAATGTTATGCACAGTAACAAATCTTTCATTATGCATGAAACTTTACAAAACTGGTTTACAAGTTCTTTAATATTATAAAATAACCAAATTCTGTGATCCAGAAAATATCAACCATGGAATAAAAACATTAGCATTCCAAGCTACTGTATATATATCTGTGTTGCATACAAAGCTCCTAATATAAAAGTTTCTAGTCCAACTAATAATAATAAGTTCTATAATGCAGATGAATAGCTAACTTACATTACATAAAAAATGACAAAGGGAAATAAACAACACAAGAGAACTCTAACAAACTTTCTAAAAATATTCTCTCACTACTCATACTTAGAATATAAATCTCAAAGCCTACCTCATGTGAGCGGAACTTTGAATCATCAAGTTTCTTGACAGCATACTTCATATCTTCATAGCGAAGGAACTCTACCACACCTGTGCCATCTTTGTACACATCAGCATAACAGACATCTCCTGCCTCCCTCATGTGGTCCTTGAGGTCCTGCCAGCTCCCAGTGGGGGGTAGGCCTGTGAGAAAATTGAAATTAGATTAAATAAGATCTCTTAATACATAACTGATCAACTCTTTCTAAATCAAGAATGTAGATATATTTATTTTTTTGCATAGACTCCATAACTGATCATTATTTACTCTTAAGCAGTGTGTGATATCATGGGGTTATAAACAAAGGTTAAAACCTCAAAATCCCCATTTTTTCACATTATCTTATAAAATAAAGATTAGTTTTAACACAAGGTTTATATCAAAACTTCAGGAGCAGAATACACAATCAAGTAAACTACTGTAAAGTCTTGTTTGCCCATTTCCTCCTTTCTTTTCTATTTCCTCTTCATTTTTTTTCCATTTCCCTTTTTTTCCTTGATCCCTCACATAAGGTGACCCTTTTGCACATCTATGTCACAGCACTAACCTCCCCCACTCCCTGCTCCCGCACCCTTCACTCATGTGCAAACGCTTGCACACACACACAATCTAGCCGCAACTTGCATCTGCAATTTTACAGATGCTAACCTAAGGAGCATGAGAAGCCCTGATGAAATGTAATGTCTAGGAAAAATGTGAAAAACGTGTTAAGTCTAATTCATCACACTTTCAGTGATAGAAAATTTGATGGCGTAACCATACACGCCCTGGAATACAAGACTGGTGCACCATGGCATGTATGAACTTGCCACCCAGAATGGAGTCCAGGCATGCCATGGCAAGTACATACATGCTACCCAGCAACAAGGGGTTAAAATACATGTATTAAACGATACTTACATTTCAAATTTACCATTCTCCACCCTTAACCCACTCATCACATCAGATGATGTTTAACTGTCATGGCGAGCTGGGCTCAAATGTTGGGTAAAAAGTACCAATGACGTGAACAGTTAACCTACTCTAAGTTATCTGCTGAAGTTTTTTTTTGCTTGTTTAGCACTGACTGCAGTCACCAAGAAAAGTAGGCTTAGTCTGGTTTCCTAATTTGTGAGCTACTCTCATAAGTATACATTGGGATAAATAGAAGTTTTCCACACTTCCAATTTCCTAACTTTAAGCAGCTGACAGCACATGAAACCCAGCAAGGGGTTTGGTTTGGTGCAGGTAATACTGCTGGGTCAAATTCCCATCCAAGGCACTGCTATTCTTATTGGCTCACTCATTCAAACACTACAAACTCATTGTTTCTTCCTGAAAATGAAAATGGTCCTTCCTAATACCCAAACTCTGTCCAAATTTTAAGTCCTTAAAGTTTCAAGCTCCTGCTCTTTCCTAACCCAATGGTTCTTCCTTCCAGTTCTTCAAAACATTTTTCAAATGTGTTTTTTCTCCCCCTCTATTTGAGATAAGATCATTTTCTCAAGCTACACATCTCCACTTTTAGCATGTATAGTGAGCCTAATCAACAGGGCAAAAAACTAACCTGTGACTGAAACTCTGTATTGTGATCTTCGGGCTGGAGGACCTCTGCCTCGCCCCCTTCCTGAGCCTCCTCTGGCTGCTCCTGGCACACTGTTCCTTGGAAATTCCACTCGGAGACGGTAGCCATCATAGTCATACCCATCACGAGAGTGTACTGCATCTTCGGCATCCCTGAAATCGAAATAAATCTTTAATACAAATTTCAACAGTACTATTCCCTGACAAATGCACAAGTTCTTTCACAAATTTATTAAAATAATAATAATAATAATAATAATAATAAAAAAGAGAAGTGCAGTGCCACACAACAAGAACTGAAGACCAAAGAGGGTCTCCAACTTCATGATTAGGAAAGTGCATCAGTGTAAAGGCTTCAGAACCAAAGGCAAATAAAACGTCATAAGTACACTCCTATTGATAATGAAGCAAAAAGGCCATCCATATTAGGGCAGATTTCTTGGATACAGAAAAAAGTCTGGTAAACAGATTTTCCCTTAAAACAAATATTAAATCAAGAAAATATTTATTGTAATAGATAATTTAAAAGGACTTGCTTGTAAGTGGATAATTAAATTCCTCTTAATACCTTGGGAAATACCATGAGAAATAAAGGAGGCAAGAGTCAAGACTGTCATTACAACAGTTGGTTGGCTGCTCAAATCCTGTTGCAAAGCTTATCACCTAACACTGAATTAAGCCTTCATACATGTAAAGTTATTTGAGAAATTTATGATTTAGTTATAGATGAGAACTAAAGCTCAAAACCCTTTGCCGACAGGCAGGCCGTGCCCACTGAGTTTTCTGGTTAGTACTCTTGTACTAAGTCACCAATGAGCCAGTTACAAGTACTGCCTGTCTCGCCCGTTTACCCTTTTCTTTAATTTCCAAAAATATTTTGTTTTATCTTATTTCACTATTACTAATGTTTATAACATTATAGTAATTATAATGTTTATAATAAAAATAACACCACCGATATTCATAGCACTAGTAAAAAATACATTTTCCCACCAGTTCAAGGAAAGGTAAAATCAGACAAGGTTAAGCACTAGCAGAGCCATCTGTGTGTGGACATTTCACAATAATATATAAAAAATGAGCACAGCATTTCCCCCATTTTTTATTCATTTTCCCCAACTGCAATGGGTTAACAAAGCATAAAAAAATTTACATTATGTTCCACTGGAACATATTATAACGGGACGGTTGCGAACCCAATCACATCACTATCATAAAATGTATAATACGGTACATATTTCCATAATGACTGTACTAAAATAGGAAAATTCTTAGAACACTGTCATAAACAGAAAAACTACACTCCTGATATTTGAAAGAATCTGTGCCAGCAAAGAATGTTGGAAATTAACCCCTTCACGACAGG